GGCCCCGAGGCCTGTTGCCGGCCGCGCGAGGTGCGTGTGCAGCCCGCCCTCCAGCCGAATGAGCCGATCGGAATGGGCGTTGGCACAGTCGAGCAGCCTCGCGCCCGCCCTCGCACGGGCTGGCCGGCGGGCGCAAATGGCTCACATGAAATAGCCGCGGTACTTGCCGGTGCCGTTGGCGTGCCTGCAATGGGCGCGGGGTGTGCAGCAGGCAGCGTACCGCCTTCAGGAAGGGCGGCCCGGGCCCAAGGCCGCAGCTAATCCTAGTAGGAGGTTTTCCGGGGGGGTGGGCGCCACGCGGCGGGGGACCGAGACGCTTCGGGCCGGGCGGCGTGGCAGCGCCCCGACAGGCTGCAATGGCCGCGGCCGGGGCGCGGCGGCGGGGCCAGCGCTGAATGTGATTTGCTGCTGTGAAGGCAGGCTGCAGCGACCTAGGCGGCCCGCGACTGGCCTGCGCACCAGAACGCGTTGGTCAGGTTGAGCCGCGGCGTTGCCGCCTTGTCGAACACAACCACATCAAAGGCTATGGTGCTTGATGTGAGGGCATCCTCGATAAACTTGATCATGCGCCACGCTGGAGGGGCCGCGAGGTCGCGCCAACTTTTAGTAATGGCGGGTGTGCTGCTCCGCTGTGGGAGGACCGCACGGCCGGCCCCCCTGCCGTCGACGGCCGTCCACGGGATCCCGCAGCAGGCAAGATATCTGTCTGTACTGTACATCAACAAGCATTCCAGCCTTCACCTGGGCTAACACCACTTGGGTTGGTCAGGATTGCAAATGCGTCGGCGACCCGGGCAGTGGTCGCGTTCGCTGCCTCGCCGCAGGCCGCCAGGGACAGCAGCCCAGCTAGGAATACAAGTTTGTTGAGCATGGTGGGACCAAACCCCTACGTGTCCCGGAAGCAGGCCGCGTTCACACCCCTTAGATTCGAGCGAGTTCAATTCCACTTTTCAACGTAGGCCGCAAGCGACCTGGAGATAAAATTTTTAATGTCAAAAGTGGGGGGGCGACCGTAGCCCAGATGAAGTACGGCGTAGTGACAAGTTCCGAGAGTTCGCAGTGAGGGAGGAGGTGCATACCGTCGACGCTAGAGGAGCCTGGGCATTCCTAGGCTACGCACGGCAAGGCGCTTTTGGCATCAATTGCGCGTATCCCCACAAAATATGCCTTGTGGTTTGTCCGTGCGCTGTCAAGCAGGAAGAAGCCGCGCGTCATGCTCACACGGCGCACTCCCAACACACTCCCGCCGCTCTGCTGGCCACGCGTCGCAACTGCCCCGACTTCCAGTCTCTACATGCTGAATGGTGTGTAGCAGGCGTACATGAGCATTAAAGTGGCAACCTCACTCGCAGCCAACCCTCACGGCTGACCGTGAAGACGCTGCAAAGATCGGGTGTGTGCGCAAGCGGGTTTGTACCGCAGGTGGCAGCGGTCAGGCGGGCTTCACGATGCGACGCGGCCCCAAAGGTTCAGACAGGCAGGCATTGATTATGCTGGTTTCAAGGTGCCTGCTTTGGCGTTTATGGGGGCGGAAGTTGAAGCAGTGCTGCAATGAGGGGAGGGGCTACGAGTTACGATGCAAGTGATTTCACCAAGGGCATTCTGTGTGCTGCAGTGAACTGCCTGCGACCGCCCAACTGATGGACCCGCACAACTCGGCGCAACGTGCCAGGACGCATGCAGGCAGAGGGGCTTCGACCATGGTTGTCGCTCTTGGGCAGCACAAAGGCGGCTGTGTTAACCGCCTTGCAGGCAACGGCCGCGCGTTGCTCCAGGTGGGGCGCCGCTTCACCCGAATCTGCGCGCGTAAGACGCACTATGGCTGAGTGAGCGCGTCCATGCGTGTGCCAACAAGCACAGGGCGGGGCCAAGGGGTACAGCTGCTGCAGCCAGGAAGATGCAGGCCGGCGTTCATTGCTGCGCCTACACATGCGCCTGTCCCATGGTGGTGTCAGTTTCACCGCGTAATATTCATTTACAGGACCTATAACATACACGCACAGCGCTCAGCAAACACAGTTCAGCAGTGAAGGGGTGGCCAACAAGTTGACTGCCAACCTCAAGTGGTGGGGGCGGGCTTGCGGGCTCGAGGCGCTGGGACGGGCTCGACACGCTGGGACAGGGATGCGCTCATCTGGCTGTTGAGGTGCACCGCCTGCAATATAAATGCTCACTTGGCTGGCGAAGTGCGCCCCCTGGACTCAAATGCTGTACGTGCTGCGCCAGTGTCCAGCTGGAGCTTCAGCTACCCGCCAGCTTCGGTACTTGCATGCTGCTGGTCACAGCATGGTCGTGCCCTTCCTGGGAAATTCTTTGTGAAGGGACTTTGACTTTACAACAAGATCGGTTGCATCCAGCGGTTGTGTTCGGACCGTGGCAGTGGGTTGGTGCAGTGCTGCTCGTGGCCGGCGAGGGTGATTCGCCATGGCGCAGGACGGGGAGGTGCGTGGGATCAAGGTGTAGCTTGCATCGGCCATTGGCGTCAAGCCGTTTGCCTACCCGCGCCTGTCCATCAGCTGCAATCTGAGATTTGCCGTCTGGCCGCAGGGCAAGCCGTCCGCGCGTCGTGATCTGCTTCTTAGTATTCAGAAAGAGCAGCAGGCCAAGTGGGAGGATGCCAAGGCGTTCGAGGCGCGTGCGCCTGCACCAGGTGCGCACTGGCAGCAGCGCGACGGCTGCGCGGCATGCTTGTGCAATTGCGCATAGATCTACACTAGAGCAGGGGGTTTTAAGGGGCAATCACCATCATGTCAGCGCCAAGCCGCACCGGGCGCAATTTCACCCCCCGCTGTAGCGCCAGCCCGCCTCTCGGGCAGCTGCCACGCAGTGACATGGCGGAGCGCCCCCTTTGCCTGCGGCCGCCCGCAGGCGAGGCCGCCCCCGAGGGCAAGTTCTTTGGGAACTTTCCCTATCCCTACATGAACGGCCTGCTGCATCTTGGACACGCGTTCTCACTGAGCAAGGTGCCTTGGAAAGTGGACAGGCCCGGGGCGGCTGCGGGGGCTGTCATTGGTCGGCTCGGGACAGCTGCGCTCGCCCTCTGCTGCGGCGCCTGGGCGCTGCGCACACTGCGGCCGGCGTACAGGCTCCATGCGGCCGCGCCGTGCGGCGGGGAAGGCGCAAGGGGTAGCAGTGGCTGCCGCTCAGCATTCGCCTTGACCGAGGGTGCTGGGGCTGAGGGAGGGCCCCGGCTCTTGAAGTCCTCAGGCGAGGGCGCATGGCGGCCGCGGTGCCTTCGTCGGCGGGGACGATGTGCCGCGGTGGGCAGGCGAGGAGGCGGCCAGGCTACAGCGCAGCATCAGGCGCCAGGGAGCGCAAAGGCATCACCCTGCGGCGTAAAAACTATGGCACGCGGAGCTTTCGTACTCATTCAACTACGTCCCCATCACCGCCACCTCGCCCGCGCCCCCCTCATGCTGCTGCTGCCGCCGCTCGGCCCCAACGCCCGCCGCCGCGGCGCCCGCGCCCGCCCCACCCCATCACCCCGCAGCTCGAGTTTGCCGCCGCCTACCACCGCCTGTGCGGGCGGCGCGTGCTGTTCCCGCAAGGCTTCCACTGCACCGGCATGCCCATCAAGGTGCGGCAGACATGACGAGGGGGGGGGGGGCAGCCAGGCTTGGCAGTGCCTGGAGGAGGCAGGGTCATCGTCAGACCAAGGCAGGCCACAGCAGCTGCTGGGCGCTGCTGTCGAAAAAAAGTTACCCAACGCTTCGTCGTGCATGTTGGATAGTTCGTAGTGTTGCCAACCACATACCTGGGCGTCGAAGCATCAATGTTGTATGAATACACATGCATGTATCCAATCAGGCGTGCGCGGACAAGCTGGACCGAGAAATCAGCACCTACGGCTGCCCGCCCGTATTCCCGTCGGAGGACGAGGCCGCGGCGGACGCGGCGCCCGCTGACGCCGACGCCGCTGCGGCCGCGGCCGCGGCGGACGCGCAGGTGGGTCGGCGGGCCGTGCGCGGGCTTGGGGTTGTGGCGAGGCAGCGCGAAGCGGCTGTGGTTTTCGCACATGGGGCCGAAGGGGCGGGGGCGGCGGCTGCGGCAGCTGACGCTCTTGTCCGCGGTGTTTGGGAGGGCGCAGCGCTGGCAAGGGCACGCTGGGTGGGGGGTGCGGCTGCTGGGCCGCTTGCGACACGAACATACGCTTGCGCTCCGCCCTTTGCCACATGCAGGAACGTTTGCACACACGCACGCATGCATACTTACACATGCACATGCACAGCCGCGCACGCCACCAGCTCTTGACTTTGTTTATTCCCATATGTGCTCAATCTCAAATGGCCGGCAACCTGGCCGACTTGCGCATGCACACACAAGATCAAAACTGGTCCTCATCCTGTTCCCGCACCCGGTCCACTTGTCAGGCCGTCAAGTCGGACCCCACAAAGTTCAGCGGCAAAAAGTCAAAGGCGGCCGCCAAGAAGGGCCCGGGCGCCACCCAGTGGCAGATCCTGCGGCAGAGCGGCATCCCGGAGGAGGACATCCCAGCGTTCAGGTGGGGCCTCAGGGCCGCGCTGATTTCAGCACCCCTTCCTTGCCCGGCTTTTTGGGGCCACCTCGCTGGTCTCTTCCAAGGGCGGTGTATAATGTTTGCCTAAGGGGGCTTTGTTGCAGCAGGGCAGTCCGTCAGCCGGGACCCCCAGTGGGGGACTGACCGGCTGAAAGTTGAAACCCTGCGAGAGCAAAGGGCCCTGTACTGGCGCCGTCGCCCCCTTACCACGGGCGCGGCGCAATTCTCTGGGCACGATATTCGTGGCTGTGCATACACACGTAAGGTTGTTGGTTGTGCGCTCACCGGCAGTGATCGGCGAAGTTGCTGATACAATGGAACCACGCACTACACCGGGCCTCGAACACACGCCGCTCAAACCCGGTCGAACCCAAGTCAAACCATCGCGCCCCGTCTCCAGGGAGTCGTCCCACTGGCTGCGCTTCTTCCCGCCGCTGGCGGAGCGCGACATGCGCGCCATGGGGTGCGGCGTGGACTGGCGGCGGGCGTTCATCACGACGGACATGAACCCTTACTACGACTCGTTTGTGCGGTGGCAGTTCTGGACCCTGTACAAGCAGGTGGGGCCGGCAGGGTGTGTGTTGATCGCTGTGAGGGCGTGCAAAAGGGGTTGTGCATGTTGTCATAAGGGCGGTGCTTGTCTGGGAATTGCAGAGGTGTGCGGCGTACGGGTGGGGCTTGGCCGCGCGTCCGAGATGGCGACCCACGGCCCAGCGTAGAGGGCTCCCCCCCTTGACTACCTTTTCCACCCCCAACCCATCACC